CACAGTAGATACAATGAATGCGGAAGGCACCAGATACCATCATAATCTCCAATATTTATAATAGAGCTCAGATCTAGTGCTCTGGTGAACATCGTGTCATTTCTTAGAGGGCATTACGCAGACAGGGAGGGCAAAAAGGGAGGGGGTCACTCAGACACATTGCTAGGCCATTTAGGGAAGTATTCTTATAGGGATATCTGGCATAACGGCATAACGGGGTCTCAGCGTCGCGGTCAACTCCGCGCCTCTGACATTTTCTCCCCGATTCATGTTCTCTGAGACAGCACAGCATTCCATTCACAATGGAAACTCGCAGCAAAAAGCCGGAGAGACTGCACCGGGCCGCGTACAGCTCCCGAATGAAGGCCTGCTCCTCTTGTCAAAAGCAAAAGGCACGTGCGGGCCCCCCGACCATTTGGCATGCGTGACATCTCAACTAGCGCGTCGCTGACATCCCTTTGAAGGTGCGATGCTTACCGAACGGCCGAGATGGGCCTTGCCAGCATTGTAGGAAGAAAAATATTGAGTGCGTCTTCAAACGGCCAGCTCGAGAGGTCGAGCTGAGGTCTAATGATGCAAGCCCCAATCGGTTCGACTGCCCGCCTCATGTCTGATGAGTTGCACCGCTAATACATAATGCATTGTGAAGGTCGGATATGGTGGATGATATGCGCATGCTGCACACAGCGATTAATGGCCTTCTGCAACAAGGATCTCTGCCGTTGCTAGGGCCTCTGAAAAGTTCACTTGCAGGAAGGCTGAATGTTGAGGGCTTGCATGCGGATGAGACTGGCACCTTCATCGAAGATGAGGATCAAGACATGGAAGAGCAAACCAATTCACTATGTGCACAGAGTGAAGACCTTGTCGAGCCATTGAGTCAAGCGCCCATCAGCTCCTTGCATGAAATCACGAGATTGAGGTCTGCCAATGCGAATGGAGCTGTTTCTTCAGCGCCTATGATAGCTCAACCAGGCGCACAAGAGCCTCAAGACCTCATCACAGAAGGAACCCTTCAGCGGAATGATGCAGACCGTCTGGTGAAAAGGTTTCTGGAGCGGACGGACTACTACCTCTATGGGATCACAAGCCGCTTTGAAGATCTAGACAGCGTGCGCCGCGCATCTCCCCTCTTATTCGTGGCAATCTGCACGGTCTCGGTTCTGCATGAACACGGGGGCGAGCAACTATACCGCGTCTGCAGTGCTCGGCTCCGCAAGCTCGTGTCTGACTTCATGTTCAAGAAGCATGTGAACCTCTACGATTTTCAGGGACTGTGCATAGCTTCGTTTTGGCTCAGTGATCTTTCATGGTCAGTGTCTGGTCTTGCCATTCGTCGAGCTATCGAGTTCCAACTCGACAAGTCATATGAAATCGCCATCGGGGCCAGCCAACTCGACGACAGGTTTTCCAACAGTCTTGGGCTCAAGGACCAAGAAGATGTACTCAGCTGCTTGAGAGTGTGGTATCTGTTCTACATTTGCGACCATCATCTCTCAATTCTGTATGGCAGGCCTTCCAGTTTTGGCAACCCGTCGTCTGTGCAAGGATGGAGAAAGTACCTTCGTGCCGTTCCCAGCTCAAGCACCGACACTCGTCTTTCCAGTCAGCTGGAACTGCTTTCAATATTGGAGAAAGTCACCTATATGTTCGGCTCGTATGGTGACAGTCGCATATCGGGAATATTCAAGAAGAAGCTTGAGGAATTCGATTTAGAGGTGGATCGATGGCACGGTTTGTGGGGTGCTCGATACAGAAGTAAGTTTAGGGTGACTTGCGAAAATGTTGTGACCGGTAGTCGTTGACTGTATCATGTGCTTTATAGCCCAACGGGATATCGAGAGGCAGATAGGAGCCTTCCCTCGGAAGAATCTTCGTCTGCACTACCACTTCGCAAAATTGTTCATCGGGTCCCTTGTATTCCGGGGACTTTCGTCCAACCCGGTCGATGACCCGATTCCGATGGAATTTCTCGACTTGGCTCACGGAGCGGTCGAGTCCGCTAGATCAACGATCGAGCTTATCACCACCGATCCAGACCTGAAAGCTGGGTTGGTGGGATTGCCGCACTACAATCACACGATGATAGCATATGCGTGTACTTTCCTTCTCAAAGTCGCAACAAAGTATCATCGTCATCTGGATATGGACCAGGATGAAGCTTTTGACCATGTGTCGCAAGCTGCAGAGACCTGCCAGTCCATACAATGCACACGGTATCACCTTGTCAGTTGGATGGGGGCTGGTTTGGCCAAGTTTCTCGAAAATTGCCGAAAGCTTGCTGAGAGGCAATCAGACGCCTCCGCGGACGGACGTGGGCGCGAAACGACTGTCAGCCCGACTCTCTCTACTCGGAAAGCTAAGGCTTTGAGTAGAGCTATGCCATCAAATGATGCATGGGATTCGGCAAGACGAGTCGCGGAAGCATTTCCAACAAGTCTGCAAGGATTCATGGATGGCAACTACAACTTTCCACAGGATGCTGTCGACATGGACAGCATGGAGACATTGGGTTTAGACATCTTGGAGGGATCTGACCTAGCATGGGATTCATTTTTACCGTCGTTCAACTTTGAGCATATGGGGTTCAGTTTACTTTAAACAATAGCCCGCTAGCCGAAAGAAAAGCCTAGAATATCTGTCTATGGCAGACAGGCTATATGACATCAGAAACTGCCTTGTTCCTTTAGGCTTCTATTACCTGATTGAAGTCCGTATAAATTCGACGCTTTTCAAGGACACCGTTTTTGACTCAAAAATCAGAACCATGCCGCTAGTTCAATCTGATATAAAGATACATGTACTAAATACTCATCACCTATCTCTTGCGTCACAGACAAAATGAGGTTGAAATAATGGATCAGATTCCCGGATGACTACACATGACTTCATGATGTGCCTATTTGCTAAGCCACGCGAACTCGTCACCCAAAAATTGCTTTGCTCTGAGGTCCCCAGAGCGAGCATGACCTTCAAAGTTCTCAGCACGTGCAGCACGGCCACACAATCGACCCAACTCTCCGCTCTCCGACTCGGAAACAACTTCCTGGTAAGTGACAGTCTTTAGGAACTTTCCCACCCAGAGCCCCCCAGTAAATCTACCTGCCTTCTTCGTTGGTAGGACATGGTTTGTACCAATGCACTGGTGAAATGTCAGCATAAAACAGAGACGCCGAGGATGTCAGGATAACGGCGTACCTTGTCGCCATAGGAAACGCAAGTCTTGGCCCCAAGGAACAGAGCGCCGTAGTTTCTCATCTTCTCCAGGGCCTCCCTCGGTTTTTCCGTCAGGATTTGAACATGTTCGCTTGCATAATCATCTGCCAAGGCATAGGCCTCGTCTAGAGAATCGACTACAATCACTTCGCCGTAGGTATTCCAAGAGACCGAGGCCAGCGGTGCAGTTGGCAGAATCTTCAGCAGGCGATCAACCTCCTCAATGGACTTTTGGGCCACGGTCCTCGAATTGGTGATTAGGACTGCCGGAGTATCCGGCCCATGCTCCGCCTGAGAAAGAAGATCAGTAGCAACGGTTGTCGGATCCGCCTGGTCGTCGGCGACAATGAGGATCTCAGTCGGTCCGGCGGGAAGATCAATCCCGATCTCACCAAAGAGCTGCCTTTTAGCTTCTGCTACAAAGGCGTTACCGGGACCCGCGATGAAGTCGACCTTGTCCATAGTTTCGGTACCAATGGCCATTGCCGCCACGGCCTGGACGCCGCCAAGGATCCAGATCTCGTCAGCTCCCGCATGATATGCAGCCGCCACGGTTGAAGGGGGTATCTGCCCGTTGATTGGAGGTGTACAGGCAATGACTTTGGGGACCCCGGCTGCTTTAGCCGTAAGAATTGTCATGTGCGCGGACGCGAGCAATGGATACCGTCCTCCAGGGATGTAACTTTTTGACTTTTAGCAATCGGCCGTTTTTTTACACGCCATGTCGAAAGACTTACGCGCCGACACGATCGATAGGGATATTCTTCTGTCCAAGAAAAACACCTGGGCGAATTTCGAGCTCAAATTCCCTCAGAGAATCTCGTTGAGCCAGGGCAAATGTCCGAACGTTGTTCTGCACCGTCTTGATGTCGGCAATAACTTGGGCCGGAACTTTGGCAACGATCGAGTCAATATCTGATTGAGAGAGCTTGAAGGACGCCGGCGACCACTTGTCGAACTTTTCTGAATAAGTCCGAACAGCTTTGTCGCCAGTTGCCCGAATGTCGTCAATCACGCCCCTTACAATCCCTGGAACATCGAGCGGGGATGTGGAGTTGGTGCCGTTTGTAGCAGCTTTGGATTTGAGGTATTGGACCATTGTGGATGGTGGTGATATACCAGCAATGGTATGGTCTAAAATAGGGACTTATTGAGGTAAAGAGATTTTGTAGTACTATTATGATTTGACCTGGAGACGGAGTGAAGGGGGAAAAGATGATTTTACATCTTCAAAGAGTTTGCTCATGCTTAATATACAGAGAGCGTCAACATCAACATCAGGGTCGTTAGCTCACGGAGTTTCTCGGAATTCCGTCAATTCTAAAACATACTTTTTTGTCATGTGTCGTGCAACTCTTCCGACGATAAACATGTCATTCATTTTCGCAGATGGTCATCGCTTGAGTAGAGTAAACACTTCCGCCTATCATTGATTTTTTCTAAAGTGCTACCAACGTCTACTATTGCTCTTAGAAGCAGTCTTTGCTGTAAGTTATGAACGTTTGACCGTGCTCCCACTTCCAAGCAAAGTAGACCTCGGTAGCTGCATTGCACGCTATCTTATGCATTAGGGAACCGCGTTTGGATATTCACGGACAAGCCTCGGAATTCCGAAACACCCGGGAGTGAGAATTCCGTCAAGCGGGGCAAGTCTTCCCCAACTTGACGAGCCTCTCTTCTGACGGCTTTCCCTCACGGCAATGCTTAACCTTCTCCAATCGGCAAGTCAGTCCATTACATAAGCGGCACTCAGTTGAACTCCCTGGTATTAATTCATCGTCACCATGCCATCTGACGTGAACGAGCGCGTCGCCCTCATCGGACTAGGGGCCATCGGCATCTCCTTCGCGGCCCTTTACCTGAGACATACAAAGAGCACCGTCAGGGTCTTTGATACGAGGCCAGACCTCGAACATCACCTTTCCACAGTCCTGCCGGGTTACATCGACTCGGATGATGCGTCGCTGGGCATATCCCGCCTGCGCGAGTCCGGCCGCCTCGTGATCTGCACCACGCTCGAAGAGGCATGCGACGGCGCCACCATCGTCCAGGAGCAAGGTCCGGAGAATCCAGATTTCAAACGATCAGTATGGCCAAAAATTGAAAGCTTTGCGCCTGCTGAGGCACACTTCTGGAGCTCGACGTCTGGTATCGCCGCGTCGGTTCAGAGCCGCGATATGGTGGATACGACTCGTCTTTTGGTGGTTCACCCTTTCAACCCGCCGCACATCATGCCTTTGATCGAAATTGTCCCGTCACCGACTACAAACCCGGACGAAGTCAGGTTTGCCAAAAAGTTATTTGCGGAATTGGGTTCCGGCCACCGACCTGTGGTTATCAAGAAAGAGGTTCCTGGTTTCGTAGGGAACCGATTGGCGTTCTCGCTGCTCAGAGAAGCTTGTTCACTGGTTGATCAGGGCGTCGTCAGCACGGAAGACGTTGACACCATTATGGAAGCGAGCCTTGGGCCCAGATGGGCGGTGCAAGGCATCTTCAAGTCGTACAATATGGGTGGCGGGGTAGCTGGAATCCAGGCCTTCTTGAATAACCTTTCTGGGACTGTTCAAGGGGTATGGGATAGTTCGGAACCTGTGAATTTCCAGAAAAAGGCAACGAATGAGTCAGAGGGCACAGAGAAGAGTGACGGGCCAACGTGGGATGCGAAAGTTGTGCAGCAGACTGTGGATGCCTACGGTCTGCCCAATCCGGAGCAATTTCAAGAGCGAGATGCAGCGTTGAGGAAGATTTTGGATGTTCAACGACAGCGAGAGACCCATACTAAGAAGTAGACTGCTTCTATGTTTGATTCAAGAGCTTCAAGACGAAGTTTCAAAGCCTGAGATTGTGTTCAAAGCCTGAATTCATAAGGGGAGCAAAAGGCAAGCTTCGTTCTCACTGAGCTATCATTGTCATTGCATCATGATCCCTGGGGGTCAATGTGCTAGACTGTTGATGTTGGATTGATCTCAGGCATGCGCAGTATCGCCAGCCAAGGTACCTCATGCAAGTTACTGAGGGTTACCTCGAGGCAAGGGCTCCATGATTAGCCGTTTACACGCTGATAGTACCGAGCAGGCGGAACAGCTGGACACTCGAGGTCATCTGGGGTGTTGTAGATCCAGCACCCGGGATAGCGGTAATGATTCAAGGAAAATCAATGCGTGATTCAGGCCAATTGACACCATCGCGCTGGGTTCGGACGATTTCGCTGCAATCAATTGGGATTCTCTAAATAAACGCTTGAAGTGACATTCCCGGCCAGACCCGGGTTACCCGGGCTTTCAGTCCGAGATCCTTGTTCGTCGGAAGACCCCCCGCGGGACCCCTTCCGTCTTATCACAATATCCGTATCTTTCATGGGCAAAGGTTATCCGTATCGAACTCCTTCGTGTTGGGGGAAGAATTGCTACCTTATCTACCGGCGGGGTAAGAACGAGGATTCGTTATTAGTCGTTCGGCCGTCACGCGGTTGCAACGTGCCGACGGTTCAATGCTGTCAAGGGGATCCCCCCGACGGTTGGAACTTTTTGTTTTGAGTTTAACGCCAATTGGACCAAGCATTGCCGCGTCGGGACAAGACTTGTCAAGACGATAAGCGGGCAGGGGTTCGCTCAAATAAGTTCCTCCAAAAGAATCCTAACCGCACGTAATCCTCCATGTTCCCTGTCGTTTCCCCCCTCCTTCCGGGGAAATAAACGGCGCCACCCCGCCCCCGGCCTCGGGCGAGATAACACGAACTGCCTGGGAACACCACCATTTCGCACTATGAAGGTGGAGAAAGGAGACCATTTATCCATGATAACGACACCTCGTGGTACGTTACGGTGGGATGGTCCTGGTGACCGTTATCACGTCGTTCGGGCTCTCGGCAACGTAGGTAACTTCCCTCTTGGGACCTTGATTGAGTTCAATCGATCCGCAAGTTGTTCAACTTATATGAGAGACACGCGTACGTACATGCATCGCGAAGTATTGATCTTAATGTTGGTCCCTCCCAAGCTGCCACCGACGTCCGTGAAACCCCGAATCGATCAGCCATTGGGCTATGACGATCTAGCTAGTGAATCTTTGCTGCATAGAGCCTTGCAGTAGCCACCAACATCAACATCACGCCCGATAATATAGGCACACCTAGTAGCCGCCATGGCGGACGAAAAGAACCATAGCGTGGACGTCACGCAAGCGGCAACCGATCTCGAAAACTTCCAGCGTGATCATCAATGGGACCCTAATCTGCCCCAGGACAAGGCCGACATGGTGAAGAAAGCGCTCGAGGACGGCGACTCTGAGGAGATCATTGCCGCCGATGCCATCTTGACAGAGGATTCGCCCTATGAGGAAGTACGTGCTGCTGTACGCAACACGGATGGTGGTGAAGTCGCAAACACGGTCCGAGCGTGGATCCTGGGTATGATTTTCGTGACAATTGGGAGCGGACTCAATATGTTTTTGAGCATGAGGTAAGTGGAACTGAGATGATGATAACTTTGGGATACCTGAATATCAATGGCTGACACTCTTACTCCATCTTCACAGGAGTCCCGCTATCAACTTCCCATCCATCATCGTCCAATTGCTGGTCTACCCAATTGGATGTCTCTGGGCCAAGGCCATGCCAATGAAGGTCTTCAACACATTTGGCGTTCAGTGGACCTTTAACACCGGCCCCTTTACGATCAAGGAGCACGTTGTCGTCACTCTCATGTCGAACGTCTCCATTGGCTACGCCTACAGCACCGACGCTCTCCTCGCGCTCCAGGGCAAGCCCTTTTACGACATCAACCTCGGATGGGGCTTCCAGCTGCTCTTCACGCTGAGCTCTCAGCTCATCGGCATCGGTCTCGCGGGCCTCTGCCGCCGTTTCCTCGTCTGGCCGGCGGCCATGATCTGGCCCAACCAGTTCGCCAACACGTCCCTCTTCTACGCCCTCCACGACAAGAGCAAGAGCGACGGCACGCACAGCAACGGCTGGATCATCAGCCGGTACCGGTACTTCTTCTACGTCCTCGCGGCCATGTTCTGCTACTACTGGATTCCGGGTGTTCTCTGGCAAGGCTTATCGGTGTTTGCCTTTGTCACCTGGATCAAGCCGAACAATATCGTCGTCAACCAGCTCTTTGGAGGCTTCACCGGCCTCTCTCTGATTCCCATCACGTTTGACTGGACCTATGTATCCGCCTACCTCGGCGACCCCCTCCTCTCGCCGACACATACCCACGTCAATGTTTTGATCGGCCTCTTCACGTTCGTCATCATCCCTACTATCGGCATCACCTACTCGGGCGCCCTCTTTGCAGACTACCTCCCCATCAACACCTCGCAGACCTATGACAACACCCAGAGCTCTTACAATGTCAGCAAGATTCTCGGACCCGGGTACACCTTTTCAGAAGAGAAGTACAAGCAGTACTCGCCTCTCTTCCTTCCGCCTACCTTTGCCCTCAACTACGGCCTCTCCTTCGCCGCCCTTACCGCCGCTATAGTCCACTGCGGCTTCTTCCATGGCAAAGAGATCTGGTATCGCCTCAAGGCTGCGCGTAACCAGGAAGCCGACATCCACCTCAAGCTCGCAAAGAAGTATGTCGACGCGCCCGAGTGGTGGTACGCCGTCCTCCTGCTCTTCGCCATCGGTCTTGGTCTCGCGACGGCGGAGGGCTACGATTCCCAGCTGCCGTGGTGGGCCTTCTTCGTCGCCAACTTTCTGGCCATGATCTTTGTGATTCCCACGTGCACGATCCTCGCCATCTCGAACCTCGGGCTCGCGCTCAACGTGCTGTCCCCATTCTTGGCGGGCTTCATGATCCCCGGGAAGCCGATTGGTGTCATGATCTTCAAGGTGTACAGCACGATTACTCTCGGCCAGGCGCAGACGTACTCTGGCGATCTCAAGATGGCGCATTACATGAAGATCCCGCCTCGCGTGACATTTTGGTGTCAGGTTGTGGCTACCATCTGGGCCGTCTTTGTGCAGATTGCCGTGATGAACTGGACGCTTGGCAATATTGAAAACTGTTGTGCACTGTGAGTCCATCCAAAGGGAGCCTCATGATTACTTACCCTACGAAGGATTGATACCTGACATTTTGACCTTAGCACACAACACGCACACTTCACCTGCCCCAACGGTCGAGCCTTCTTCTCATCCTCCATCGTCTGGGGTGTCATCGGTCCCCGCCGCATGTTCGGCGCCGGCTCCATCTACCACAACTTCAACTACTTCTGGCTCATCGGCGCCTGCCTGCCCATCGTCTTCTACGTGCTGGCCAAGGTTCTCAACCTCAAGTTCGCAAAGGTCCTCCACGCGCCCGTCATGCTCGGTGCCATGGGCTGGCTCCCGCCTGCGACGCCCCTCAGCTTCTCCAGCTGGGCCATTGTCGGACTCATTTTCAACCACGGCGTGCGCAAGAGGTTTCACGGGTGGTGGAAGACGTACAACTACATCACCGCCGCTGCGCTCGACGCCGGTCTCATCATCAGTACCATTGTCATCTTCTTCGCCATCACGTTACCCAACGTCACGATCCCACAATGGTGGGGAAACGTCGACGTATATAATACCTTGGTAAGTTGCATATACATCGTAAAATTGAGAATGGGGACCCTGCCCCTCCTCCCTCACTCTCCCCGCGAAACGCGGGTGCCCGCAAGTGAATGCGCTTGCTGGCAACGCTATCTGACGTCGAGGCTCATTTCAACTAATCGTGTCTTGCATATAGGACTCCACGTATGGCGCCATTCTGAAGACGGTGGGGGAAAACGAGACCTTTGGTCCGACTAGTTGGTGAGAGAGGATCGTGAATCATCCTGCATGACGATGCAGACTGCCGCCTTTAGCGCCCGCGGGGCTCCCAGATAGGAAATTGGTATTAAGTTGCTGCCCAAATTGCTACCCAAGCGGATCTTGCATCCTTCCATCTTCTTCTAGATGCATTCTAGATGCAATAGTTCAACAGTCACAGTGAAATCGGTAAGCTGCCTGGATATATCGTGAGATCTTGAGTGCAGAGGAGAGGAGACAAAACTCGCAGTCTGATTATCATTTGTACAGTTTTTTTGTAATGTGTCTTCTGAAGATCATGATGATTGTGAAGAAAAACAAGCAAAAAAAAAGGAAATACCAAACAAGTCTAATTGTACTCCGTGAATGCTGGCGGATTCTCGTTATTTGTTGATGTTGATGTTGTAGTCGCAGCAGGGAAAAAGCAAAAGAGGCATTTGATGCATGCAATCATGATATGTGTCATAAAAAAAGAGAAGGAAAAAAAAAAGACATTCAGAGCCGCCGTCGTGCCACTCATAGCACCCGTTTCAAGAGCCGGTCGATCGATGGTAACCATATCATCATCATCCTAGAAATGCGCGTCATCTCATCACCCATCAGATCCCAATGTCACAACTCATGGTTTTTTCTCAGTCCGCTCTGGCCGTGGCGACGTCGTACATTGAAGCAGAGACCTCGTGTTCAGAGGCCCGATGGCTCCGGGATCGCGGGAGGTCGATGCGCTGTCTATACGGCCGAGCGGCGCCGTCGACGTGGTGATCCGACATTTTCCGCGGGAGGTCTTCACCTCTCGGCGGGGGCGCTTCTTTCCGGGAATGCCTTCTCTCTCGAGACGCGTGGGACCGGATCGAGGACGCGTCGTCGCGCTCTCGCTCTCGCGGGGGCGACGGCTGCTGCATCGGCATCGGGGACGGGAGGTCCATCGGCGGCAGCGGCGGGGCCGGGGGCGGAGGTGGCGGCATTTCTGCGCTGACGAGGGGTTCCCGGTCCCGGTCTCTGTCGCGTTCC